AGTGTTACCGTTCCATTCGCATCAGGCGGCAATGCATCTTGAGGCCCTGATTCTGAGTGATCCTGTTTTCCTATGGGGTCCACTTCCTTTTGGAGTACATGTTCCTCAGGCGGATTTGGATCCAATTCCTGATCGATATCGAGAGATGATGATTCTTCATCAGAAGTAGAATCTAAGGGTTCACTTTCACTTCCATGAGGACTATCAGCCTTTGAACCTCCACTGCCACCATTACTCCCACCTGCGGGAGGAGATTCACCGACAGCTCCACCTCCACGTTCGCCACGAGTTCCGGGATGACCAAAAACAACATCATCATCCTCAGCGTAGCCACCGCCGGCACCGCACCACAGCACGCAGAGGGCACACACCAGCAGCACACGGCCAGTCATCATCATCGCCATCACTCCTGTCACTTGCGTGCAGCCTTCAGCACAAACTAACGCCCCGTCAACGCAGAGTGAAAGACACAAACGCTACACCGCACAACCACCGCACAGTCACAAAAAATGGCAGCACCCAGAATCAGCAGCGCACACCACGAGATAAATGGAATCAGTACAATTGCAGAACCTTCAAACAGCCCTGCAAACCAGAAGTTTAAAAGCAAGCAATAAAAAACAGTAATTAATAAAAAGAAAACTACACCCGGGGCTGTGCTGCGCATGCATATGAGTGTGTCCGCGATGCGTTCAACATGACAGATGTGGGGCACAACGCGGAGCACACAGCAGCTGCGCAGCAGAAGCAAGCAAAGCAAAAACGATCATCATAATTACTCTTACTTTATACATCGGACCACAGTGGACGTGCACATTTCCCCGTGGTTGAGTGCTCGCACGCACAGCCCGCACACACCTCTTCAGCCCACAGCGGTGTACGCCAGCGCGCATACGGCTAGCAGCAGCGGTGCACACACCCACGCAGAGCTGCTGAGGCTGCCGTCCACTTCGCGAAGACGTGACGGTGCGCGGGTGGTCGTCGTAGTTGGCGCCTCTGTAGTCGTCGTGGTTGGTGGCTCTGGCGCAATGGTGGTTGTCGTGGTCGTTTTAGTTGGTGCGTGTGTTGTGGTTGTGGTCGTCTTTGCGGGATCTTCGGCTTTCTCTACTGCTTTGTCCGCGGATGGGTGCGTGAGACTTTGTGTCTCTGTAGTACTGCTTGCAACTTCTGTCTGCAACGTACTGAGTGCGCCTTTTGATTGCTGTTCCGGATGTGCCAAACTTTGTTCTCCCACTAAGACAGCTTTTCCCCTTTCCGTATCGGACCCCGGATTTGGCGACTCTGACTCACCGGCCGCCTCAAGCGTTTCCTCTGATGGAAGGGACAGTGTAACGGTTGCGGTTAAAGTAACATCAGAAGCTTGAACGTTTTCAGGATCCTGCGCAACGCATGCAGACGGGCAGCAGCACAGGACGAGAACCAGCAGGGCGCACAGCAGACGGCACGTCGTCATCGTGAGTGTGGTCGTTCAGTGGTGTGGAGCTGATCTGCACAGTGAGGGACATGGAGAGCAACAGGGGAGACGAGAGGTGCGGCAGACACACACAGAGGGCACACCACATGAGGAGAGGGCAGCAGCCAGGCATGCACCGTACGCCGCACACCACGCACGACACACACTCCAACCCACGGCAGCAGGCACACACACACACAGCCCTGCCGCAGCACCAACACACAGATGGAAGAGGGAGAAGCAAACAGGAGCGGCACACAAGGCTCCACCGCATGCACACACGGCGAGAGCGGTCCGTCGTGCCGGCACCCCTCACGGAGGGTACGCACACACACAAGAGGAGGTGCAGCGCACACAGCAACACAAAAGCAAAGTAACAATAAAAAAGGGGGAGATCCCCGCACACCACGTGGATTGTTGGTCCACGGGAAGTAAAGCCAATATTCATCACAAAGCAACTTATTTGCCTTCGTCCATATTCAGCGCACACCACTTCATGCACGCACAGCCACAACCGCAGCAGCAGCCGCACACGCAACAACAAGAAGAAGAAGCAAAAGGGGGGAGGTGGTGTGGGAGACAGCGGTGCCGCCGTCACTGTCGCCAGGCTTAGATGTAACATTCTTTTGAGTAGTGGCTGTTTTTGCTGTTTCTGGTTCCGTCTCACTGGCTGTGGGAGCATCGTCGGTATGTCTATCTTCAAGCCCGTCTTGTGGTTCTTTGCTGTTAGACCGTTGATCACTGTTACCAACCTTGTTCTCATTTTTCTGGGCTCCACCATTCCCACTTGTGGATATGGATGTTGCTGTTGTTTCTGCTGGATGACTTGTAGTTGCATCGTTCATCGAATCTGGTGTGTCCGTTTCTTCTCTGTTTTGGTTTGGCTCACCATTCCCTGAAGGTTTTTCCGGTGCTTCAGGCGCCGTTTCAGCGTGTGACGGTGACGTCGTGCTTTTTGTCTCAGTTGCATTCTGCGAGCCTGTTAATGCTGGTGAGTTTGTTTCCTCTGCTGAAACGGTCATCGCTGGTGATAGCTTTGTTTTTATTGGTTCTGGTGTTAATACTTGTTTGACTTCTGGTTCTATCAATGCCGTGGGATCGCTGTTGTTAGGGGACAACCCGGCATTCTGGTCGGTATCCTCCTTTCTCCCGTTCGCAGTTCCACCGCCACCGCCATTAGTGATAACCTCTTTTTCTGGTGTGCCGAGTAACCGTTCTTGCGGAAGGGAATCAATTGCTTCTTCTGGATTCACTTCAGTCGGCGATGCATCTTGAGGCGGTGATTGTGACTCTTCCCGTTTTCCTTTGGAGGTTCCCTTTTTTCCGGGCGTAAATGTTCCTCAGAGAGACTTGAAACCCCATTCGGATCAAGATGAATAGCTGGTGATTCTTCCCCGGACGCAGCAACCAAAGGTTCACTTTTACTTTCATGAGAAATATCAGCCTTTGAACATTCACTGCCACCATGACTCCCATCTGCGAGAGGAGATTGCCCACCACCACCAGGATCGCCGGAAGTTACGGGACCAACAACATCACCATCGGCAGCAACGCACCACAGCACGCAGAGGGCACACACCAGCAGCTCACGGCCAGTCACCATCATCGCCATCACTCCTGTCACTTGCGTGTGGCCTTCAGCACAAACCAACTCCCCGTCAACGCAGAGTGAAAGCAAAGAGGAGAGACAAGTTTGTTTTTGTTTTTGTTTTTTCTCTTACCAGTAGTAGTAACTACACCTCAATTGTGCAGCTCTGGTAAGCGTACGAAGGAATTCAGTGGCAAGGATAACCTTACTCCGCGGACAGCCACTATAGAATGGCTCCAACATCTGCCCTTCCGGCCCGTAAAACTAAGTAACAACTACTCATCAGGTTTGAAGCATGAACAGCAGGCGCTTAGCTTCCTCTCTAGCAAAGAGTACTAGACCCTGGCACCACGTTGAGGTGGCCGGCTGAGCCAGGGTTAGCGCCTAGTCGTAACTTCCTTCCTAGCCTGAGTGTGTTTGTGTGCAAGAAATCAAATTAAAATTCAAAAAGCACCAAAACAGGACGTGGCAGGTGAGTGGGTGGCGCCACCATTCACAGTGTAACACACCAGCGTCGCCGTAACCGCCACAGTAATTACCCTCACCGTCCACAACGGACCAAAAAATGTGAGGCCACACACAGAAGCAGAGAAGTTGACGGTTGCGTACGGGCCAAGATGCCCTCCGGCAAACGGCACCAACCAACAGACAGCCAGCAGAAATTAAAGGCGAGCAGAATCCCAAGTGCCGCGGGGTCATTGCAAGCAGCGCACCGTAACTGTAGAACCTTTAAAGCGTTCCTCGCTGCAACACCCTCACAACCCACTCGGCGTGTCGGTGGATTTTCCCGTTCACCGGAAGAAACACGGCGAGATACGTCGGCAGTGGTCGAAGACACACAGAGTGCACCGTCGACGCGAACAACGAGCGCGGACACTCGTGAAGTGAGATCCCACAACCGCGATCCCTCCATTTACCCTCCTGGACGTGAAGAAAGCATAAAATGTCCTCCTCTCTACAGTAGTCCTGAAACGCAAAAAAAAATCCGCAGGACATCCCGCGCAGCCACGGCCTCCTCAGCAGCCTGACAGTCCACGCCGTCGCACCGCTCCTCAAGAGGTCGCCAGACCCGGTAAGGCAAGCAAAAGGGAACAGCAATTTGGTCAGGGCGTTCAGCAAAATGAGGCGCAGCGGTCGGGTGAGCGCGGTCCATCCACGTCCTCCCCTCAACAGACTCACCACACAGTCGAATCACAAAACCGAAAAGAGTCGTGGTGCCTAACGAAATAACACGGACAATAGCGCCTCTTGCTCTCCTAAATGAAGTTTCATGGCACACACGAGGCATCACAGGAAAGAGCAAATAATTGCATTCCATCGGCATAAGCACGGAAGTATAGCGCGCATAATTTTCCCCGTGAACTCCCATCCAAATAGTCTCAGCCACAGAGTTTGTGTCGCCGACCCTCAGGAAGGGCTGATGCGTCAACTGCCGCTGAACGATCCCTCAGCGATGCAACAAAAAGTGCCACTGTCTCTCTAATTCCTTCGTCACCCTTTCCTCCCACTGAGGGAAGAGGGAACGCAAAGTGACGGTGTGGGCGTGTCTAACTGACAGAAATGGAGGAAGTGACTCCAGCCGCAAAACAAATTGAACGAATCCTCCTCCCGAATCCTTCAAAGGGACCGGTCGGTCAACTGCCGAGGTTGACGGCGCGGAGGACAACACCTTGAATGTATGGAGCACCGCAGCAACCTGAATATATTCTGCAATATCCGCGGTCAGTTCATGAAAGTACAAAGAAGGGACAGCAAATTCAAAGGGGCGTGTGAGCCCTTCAGTGATCACCTACGCCGGAGGATCGCCACCCCACCCTCCAAGGGCACCTCAACGACGTCAAATATTTCCACCGCATGGCACCCACAACACAATCGCGTGGCATAAAGTATCGCCTTGCAGCACCCCATGCAATGCGGCAATCGACAACCGTCTCGAACACGGCGTGCGACAAAGGTACCAAAGAAAGGCGCAGCAAATACCCTCCACATCTCAGCAGCTCCAATCATCCAGTAAAAAGCAGGAGCACCAGACAGTACCCACGGACTCACCAAATATGGCGTCAAAAGGCAGCGAGATGTCAGATGCCGAAAGGCTCGCATTTCCTCCCCCGTGACACTTCCACAAATGAATGCAAATGCCGTGCCCTGCGGCCTCTCGACCGCTTCGAGGCAACGTTGCGGCCACATGGCGACGGCTCAATGTGGCTGGCGATCAGATCCTGTCGTCGTGGCAAAACAGTACAGAAAGTAGGGTGGTGGGCCCGCACATTCGACTCGTCGATGCCTGCTCCCGCTGCAAGAGTGAAACACGCCTTCCCAAAAGCCGCGCTTCGGGTGGCTGAAACACCTGCCCTCACACCGGCGATGAAATATGCAAGCACCTGTAATTCCTCGATACCGACCCTCAAAAAAAAAACAAAAGCGGCACTCAAACTCTGCAGCCACACATCCCTCGTAACCATTTACAAACTCGTTGTCCTGCAGAAACGCTTGAACAGCATAAAAAGATGACCGTTCATTGCTGGCAAGGGACAATAGTACGTCGCTTTCATCCTGCAACGGAGAACTATGCCTCCTGCGTAACGCGGCCACAAGTACGCGGTGCACCAACACCGAAGCGGTGGGCATGTTGCCCCATGACCCTCCCCCCACAGGGGTCCAAGAAGTGCAACAGACCATCCTCCCAGCAAAGAAAAAGCCCAATGGAGCGGACACTGCAGTGTGCGGACCACACAGCAGAAACACCCTCAGAGGACAAATGCTCTTGAATGCCCTTCAGAAGGGGCCAGCGGGTTGGTCGTGAAGCCAACAGACACCGGAGAGACACCTGCTCTGCACGCATCCAATGACGCAATCGAGCGCGCAGTGTTGCAGGGCACATCAACCAGCCTGTTCTCGTCTCCGTCTGTGCGGGTACGACAGCCCTGCCATCACCCTTCGCCCTCACAAAGTATTCCACAGGGTCCTTTGAACCAGAGACCACCAGACGGCAATATTCCACCGGATGAGTGCTCTCCATGCCGCACAAAATAAAATTTTCCCACGTCGAGGACCGCAGTGAAAACGAGCACAACGATGAGCAACATAAGGGTTGTCGGTGCTCGAATTCATCACAACACTCTACCCTCCGTTGGTTCAGACCTCTGCCACACGACGAGGCACAGATGTAACATCACTTACACGCAACAGAGTGAAATCCGCAAGAACATTGCCATATTCATACAGGACGCAACAACCACCAGCACGGTCAGTAGCCGTTGGGATCATATTCTGCAAAACATGATCCACGCTTACAGGAAATTTGTTGTCCAGTTGCACAAATAATTGTTGGGCCAAGCAACGTGGGCCCCCAAAACGACGACACCAGTCGATATTAAGCCTTGGAACCGCCAGTGAGAGCCATTGATTGAAATAAACACCAAACACACCAGCGGCCAACAAAAACTGCGACAAGGCACTCGTACTTCAATCAAAGAACGGATTCGTCTCGTCTCGGAAAAAGAAAGAATAAATAATATTTTTCCTCCTCACAGAGCCTTCCAGCAATGAAACACCATCATGCAATCCGCCCTTATTGGCACTACTCAGGAGCACAAGAACTGTGCAATGTGTAGAGGACCCTGCAATCAAGCGAATGAGAGATGCTCCACGGCGGCAATCAGACTCCTCCCAGGCCAAGCATAAACCAGTCGCGAGCAGCATGTCTTTTCATGGGCTCTCCGTTCTGGTTCCAAGCGAGACGGAAGGCCTTCGTCGCTCAGCACCAACCCCGCGTTGCGTCGTGTCGTCACATAAAACAAGTGAGGATGACAGAGTGCATCATCGGGTAAATTGCCCTCAAATGTGGGAAACGGCAACGCACCCGCCGGAAACAGGTGCGCATGGTGTCCCTCCACGTCAGCCGCGCAGCCTGTCAGATGAAGGAAAATTTCGGTGAAACGGAAGTCAGCGCACTCACCTCCACCCCAGACAGTTTTATCAGGACGGTCGAATCATCAAGTCGGGGGCTCCACACTTGTTGAGGGATATTGTGACCATCTGACACGTCCACGTGCATGTCCACACAACGTCCTACTTCCTTTCCCACCTCTGCATGCGTCCGCATCGTCTCTTAAGCCATATCCAGGAGATATCAGATGGCGAGTGGCACCTGGTCAGCCAGCGTCGCTCCATTCCTCAAAGCACCGAAGCTCAAAGCCCCAAAATCAATGGCCATCAATCGTGATGCCGTTGGCACAGGACCTCCTCTGGCCAACGCCACACAATTGTTCCGGAGTACATGTTATCCCATGCCTCGCTGATGCCGCCCTCATCATCCTCTACAGATACACCGTGCATTCACTCCCAAAATACAGGTGTGGGCTACACCTCAAGGAAACTGCACAATAAACCTGCAAACTTCTCGTTGAAAGTTGTCATTGTGTTGGGTGGCAGAGGCAACGCACTCACACGTTGCACCTCTTCAGGAAATCAAAGAAGATAGCAATCAGCATTCAATTGGGATGGGCTTCGCAAACCCCTTGCTACTTTTGTCCGATGGGGTGCTTCAGTGCATATGAAACCTTGTCCGTGGGACGGAATGCCTATTCTCTCTAAAAAAGTGAGCATGAACTCACGGGAGAAGAATACGTAATATAACGGAAGCAAAATGCCATAAATAAAAAAGAACGGTAGAAAAATTATATGGGGGGATATATATGAAAATAAGCTTTGATCAATGTGTAGATATATCGATATGGGTATGAGCATAAAAACGATACTTTATTCTTATTCATTGCTTCATGTGTATAGATATGGATATATCCCTTCTCTCTCTACAATTTGACAGATTGCTTGGTTTCCTGACTTATTGAATTGCTATTTTATTGGCTGCATATTTATATAGATAGGCATGTAGATATCAGTACTAATATCTATTCAGCGCTGTTGATATATATATTGTTATTATTCCTCGTGTCTGCTCAGATAAATACGAAGACCCACACGCCAGCCACCATCGCAGAGCATGTCCGCCCAACGATCGGAGATGTAAAAGAGAGCCCCGGCACCCGAAGTGGGAGCCGCAGCTGAGGCCGTGAAGCACACAACACCGCTACGCACCCGCTCCGGGGATAGCGCGGTGGCTCGATAATCCGTGGCGTGCCGTGCGGTAGCGGGTCAGTCAGGCATTGCTGTGGCACTGAAACCCGCATGCTAAACGGCGAAAATGAACTGGTGGTGATCCCATCGGGCTGTCGTCGCCGGGCAACGTGCGCCTTCTCGGCGGCCTGAGCCCTCTGCCGTCGTGAAATCGGCGACAGCGTGACGTTAATCAACGCATGTGTGCATGCCATTTTAGGGAAACGGTGCACTGTTTCTCGGTGGCATTCTCCTGTGCAAAGTCGGGGTTTCTGTGTGGGTTTGATGTTCTTCATGCGGAGGTTCGAGCCTTGCAGCGCGTGGTTATTTAATCTCCATTTTCAGCTTCGTAACATTCTCGTCGTCGGAGAGACTGTGCCGTGTGTCGGTGGCCAATCCCCCGGCATTGCCCGCCTGCCTGTCGTACCAAGGGCATTTATGAAGTGCTTCCTTCTTCGGTGCCGACCGTGGCTCTGTGCTGGAGTGTTCGCGTGCTCGCATAAGGAATAGCGGTCCCGTTTTCGCTTGAGCCCTGAATTCACAGTACGTGCATTCCAACGGTGTGGATGCCGTCAGACCGTCATATTCCTGGCAGCGCCTCCTATTTGTCGGGGGAACTACTGCTTGTGGAAATGCCAAAGATGAGATACGGTTCCGACTTGCTTTTCGTAAGACGCCGTGCGGAAACTGCATGGGAGTGGCTTCGGCCTGGGCTGTGCAGTCCGCGGCGGATATGCGATCAGTGTGCCGTCTCTCGCTCTCGTCCTCGCTCAAGTGCTGGGCGGTGGTTCCGGTGGGATTTCTGGCGGCTCCGGCTCATCGGGAAAATCAAATTCCCGCAGCGCCTGGGAGCGCGTAATGCCATGGTCGTTAACCATGTGCGTCACGACACCAGTTCGGCAGCTGCGGTGCTTACCGCACACCGGGCAGTTTGCCGGGCGTCGGATCGTGGCGGGGTGAGGTCCAGCGGGAGGAGGAGGCGTTTCCGTGCAAAGTTCTTGGCGTGCCTGCTGTGCGGCATCCGTGCCGCACCAACGGCATTTTCTCGGGATGGCGGGTTGCAGTGGTCGTGGCAGCCATCAGTACTTGTGCGAAACCCCGGTGCGGAGGCAGGCCAGTGCAGCCTCTTCCCCACGAGTGAGAGTGGAGTCCGTGCGCGTGGGTTCCCAGTCGCCTCTTACGGCGGAGCGGCGAGCCTCTGGCTTGAGCTGTCGGACACAAATAACATGTTCGGCCAATGAAAACGATGCCGGTGCTCCATGTGCCTGTGAGCTGTGCGAGGTCGAACGCCGTCTTGGCCTATGCATCACATGCTTCGTTCTCGGATACGCCGCAGTGGCCAAGGACGAGCTGCATCCGTGTGCGCGCTCCTCGGTGCTGCGGGCAAGACGAAAGGTTACGTCCACAATGTGAGTCACCAGGTGATCCAAAACCGTCGACATGTGTTCGCGTGCTTCCACGGTTCGACGAGAAGGTGCATAGATGCACGCTACCGTGTAAAAAGTCCCGGTGAATATCGTACTCTCCATGCTAACACCACACACCTCCTGCACACACAAAAGTTGCGGGCCCGTACGGGGCACAAATCCCAATGCCGCGTCATCCAAGGCTCCCACGTTTCACGTGCGCACTTGAG